ACTCAATCCAGCCCCCGGGTAAGCGTTGTACCCGCGTACGGGCCCCCCAAAATTTTTCCCGCGCAAATTCATAACTAGGAGTTCTGAGATGCTAAAAAGTTGAAGTTTTAGGGGGATGTTCCCGTCCAAGCAGGTGCTAATGAGCTTAAATCCAGCCCCCGGGTAAACGTGGTACCCGTGTACGGCCCCCCAAAATTTATCCCGCGCAATTTCATAACTCAGGGATTTGAGAAGCTAGGAGGCTGAAATCTTGAGGGAATGTTCCCCGCCCAAGTGGGTATTAGTGGGCTCAAACCCAGCCCCCGGGTAAGCTTAGTACCCACATACGGGCCCTCCAAATTTTTTTTCGTGTAAATTGATAACTCAAGTACCTGAGAAACTTAATGGAATGCAATTTTAAGGGATATTACCCCGTCCACCTAACTTTCATTCAGCTCGAATCCAGCTCTCAGGTATGCTTAGTAAACATGCACAGGGCCGTGAAAATTTTGTTTCAGTAAGTTGCTAACTCAGGTGCTAGGGAAGCTAGAAAGTTGAAATTTTAAAGGGAATGTTTTCTGACAGTTCTGGTGCCAGTCTTAAATTGTTTAGTAGAAGCAAGTGCCGGTAGCAAAAAAAACTGCGGAGAACCATGCAAAAAACGCATCTTCGCACGGGCAGCTCGTGCGTTGGCCGATTATTTTTTTGGCGGTAGGGGACGGTTTTGCCTTAAGATGACGTCACTACGGCTTTGCAGGAGCGCAGTCGAGGAAAACGAAACACATCCTGACAAAGTCAAGGTTTTCATCTTGACAAAGTCAAGGAGGAAGAACTGGGGGTGGGGAGAAAGGAGTGATGTTTCTCCGGAGATGCTGAACAAGCTGCGATGTTGAGGGGACAGTGGGCGGGGGGGACAGTGTGGAGAGGTGCCTTGCAGCTAAGATTCACGCACATTTGCCTCAGTGTTCTAACACTTGGTTGCTTGCAAAACTGCATTTTGAGATTGCTCACACAGCAGGTAGTTGAACCAACGCTATGTGGTCTGAGACGGCACAACACGCATCACTTGATTAGTGGACAAAACAAGAGTCCATCAAATACATCTGAAAACTGGCCAGTCTTACGTCTCCACGTTGCAGAATATAGAGGCCCATGGGCCAGCAGCGACCACCGCTCACTGACATCAGGATTCGGCAACGAAATTAGCTGACTGTTTCGCACGGATATACTTAGTTTTCAGTGCACTGTGTGGTTTCTCGACATGATCCGAGATAATAGTATTGAGAAGCTAGTAAACCCTCTTTCATTCCTTATCTTTCCCCCGCAACACATAACGCTAGTAATCCAAGTAATGTTACAATGGCATGTAAAACAGTTGCAATGCAGGAAGCATCGTGGGTGGTGTTGTCATTCATGCACATGAAGTATTTTCATTGCAGCATCAATATATTTCGATAGAGCTGTGAAAACTTCGTGTGTGGTCAGTGTGATGCCACTTATTTTTCACAGCTTTGCGTAGTTTTTGATAATTTTTATGTTTTTTTTTGTGCAGTATTTGTCATGACCACCCACTAAGGTAGACCACGTGGGTGCAGTATTTATTCAATTTGCTCAAAACCGGGAATGTCTGTTAGCGGGTGCTACCCGCGAGAAAATAAGCGGCCACTCGGACAATTTCCTAAGGATCTTATATAGCATTGGACAGGAGTTGCTACTGTAGATCGCAGCTCAGGATCGAAGGCCTAGAATATCTCCACTAGGTAAATATTAAGAACATGGAATATTCACACCGATTGGCTGCATTGATAAAAAATGAGTATTTCGGACGGGACATATTTGCGCTTGCCCGTCTAGGTAAATTAACTCGAAAACTGCTCAAGTCAAGTTGGGAATATAGGAACGTAGTACTGGGCCGTATGAGAGCCAGTGACTTGAACTTCCCGTTCGATTTGAAATTCAAGCGCATTCTTAACTCTAGAACACTGAAGTCGTAAATCGAGTTTTTATGCGTTTCTGCACGTATGCAAATTGCAATAAATAGCATTGCGCACCAGACTAGCCGGTACGATCATGTGTTTCGTGGAGTTCAGAACGCCGAACGATTGCCTGTTAATGATTTTTACTACTTTGTATTTTAGTCTGCGCAAAAATAGTTGGAACGTTAAAAAATAGTTAAAAATTTCACGCACTGGCGCATGAAAGCTGAATTTGAAACCTTGAAGGGTGGATATCCTTCCGTGATCCCCGAGGTAATAGTTTACTCGCCAAAATTTTTACGAGGTCGTAAATGATACCCGAGAGCGCGGGTGCTTAATTTGAATTTGTAGAGTCGTACGTGGACAAGGGGTCACTACCGCAAAATTTCAGCTTCTGCAGTCCCCGAGGTAATAATTTACCCGCAAGAATTTCCACTGGCTCATAAATGATACCCGA